TACCTTTAATAGGAGATCACCTATGTAAGTGTATGAAGTGAGGGCCGCTTCAAAACTTGACAAACACTTATGAATCCAAGATGTGTGTCCATGGCCAAAACGGACACAATCATGAGAACTAAGGAAATGTGAGAATAGTATTGTGTGGGTTGCATTGTCTTGGTTTACACGAACGGCTGACAGTTCAAGACATCGCGTTCACTACTCAGCCTAGTAAATCCGATGTAACTCCACAACGGAAGGTTCAAAGCTATATGCTACCTATCCCGATGCAATACTATTCGTGGGAACTCTAGAGAGAACCGACGCCCTCGTTTTCATTCATGTGGGGGATTGTTGGGAAAATTGGTTAAAAATTGAGTCATGAACAATTTTTATCAATGTTATTGTACGGTCTAATTAAGTATATAAATGAATTTTGGATTAAAACCAATTTTGTGGTGAATGAAAAATTACTAGTCCAAAATATAAGGAAAGTGGGATTTTAAGTTATCCCACATTGGAAAAGTAGAGAAGTACTGAGCTGTATTTATATCAAAATATGGGGACAAAGGGTCACGCCCTTTGGGCATTCAACTTTGTTTGGGAGAAAGGCCTATATGTTATGTGTTTCAAATCGTGCCCACACGCGCGCGCGCGCCGCCGCCGCCGTCCGTCCGTCCGACCGGCCGGCTCGGCTCGTTCGTACGGATCAGATTTGGGCTTGGGCCCAAATCACTACATTAATTTTTTGGGCCAAAAACATTAGGTCATGGGCTTATTACTCGAAGCCCATCTCGATTGGTCTGACTGGTCTGAATTGGTGCGGCCGAACCAATGCAAACCATTCAGGCTCAACTCGAAATGGTGCAACTACTCCCAATTGGCTCAAATCGAAATGGTGCAACCATTCAAACAAAAGGTACCTTTTTGCTCCAAAGGACACTACTTTTCAAACCTTATAAATAGACCCTAACATTCCCAGAATTCTTCACTTCAATCCAAATACTAGCCTACAACATATTAAGCCTTCCTTTTACAGATTCTCTCGAAAAGTTCTACACAAAGTACAGTTCGTCGTACTTGGGATTTGGAGTGCTCTTATTCCAAGTTTTGCCGTTGTATCTTGGGAGACGATTTCCATTTAATCCGTTAGCACCGTTGCGGGGAAATTTCGTCTTAAGGACAGAGACAACTCGCCTCGGCAAAATTCTCGTTCATAGCAGATTTCCAACAATTAGAACCACGATCTTCATTATCTTCTCGAGGAAGGATGGGAATATATTTCTTATGTCCAAAGATCGGACAATCATATGTTTACTCAATGAATGAGCTTTATCATGTATATAAACAAATAATGGATAAATATTTCATTCGACAAATGCTCGATCTGCAGATCAATGCAAAATATATATCCTCCCAAGATATTTTCATTTCGAATTCTTTCATCAAATAATTGATGATCTTTGTGAGCTCTTCATGAGTCTCCACAAGATTTAATTCGCCCCAAATGATAATAGGAATCAATTTATTTGATTATTCCTTTTGTAAACAAGGTATTCACTAAGGTGACAATACCGTATTCTTCAATATGTAAATGGATCATTCGTAGGGTCTAACGCACGAGACCTCTTATTATATGCTTCAAGCATTTTCATTTCTTTGAAATAACAAGTTATGATCCATATAAATATGCGGTAATTGCATCCATATGGTGCATGTCAAATAATTTTGAATACCATCATAAAGTGATTGCATCATAAAAATATATTTTCAAAAGGCATTCAAATTTACCGCAATGATTTTACCCACTTTTGTATTAAAGGCTCCACAACTTATGTGTGTTGACTTCAAGTCAATGTACAATTCATTTCTTTACCAATTTCAAATAATCATGGTCAATTGCATTTGTAAATGCATATACTAATGACCAATTAGATGTCGACATCTATTAACATGTACGAGCTTCAAGCTCTTAACATTATGAAAAATTGTACATGTAGTTATTCGATAACGTCTTTTGTACTCCCCATATTTCTTTATTATCAATCAATAGCTCACTATTTCACTTTTCGGTACCGGATATTCATATATATGGGGATTGTAGCCTTTGTGGGTATGATCTCTTGTAGAGATCCATATCTTTTCATGTACCATGTATTTTTCTCTTATAGAGATTTTATATTGCAACAATAAAGTTTTCCTAATACTTTATGTGCTTGAGCTCATTATTTATTTCAATAAAAATGTCCTACATGGACAAAATGCGCGCTTTTGAGTTTCACAATGTGGAGGGGGTATTGAGGACTACTCGTCCACTTTATTTTTCAAACTCAATATTAACATTCAATTTGGTACATGAATATTCGTTCGAAAAGAATTTTCAATTCTTTAGGATAGTATATCGGTACAACAACAAAATTGAGAACTAATGTCTCAAATTCCTCTCTATTCACTTAGAGAGCAAGCTAACCATGATTTATTTGCCTATCAACTCTTTATTGGCACATAATGGTTCGATTTAAAATGATTTCGATAGTTACCGTGTAATCATCAATGATTTTCTCATCCAAATATGGATTTCATTTATGCCACCATAACTGGCAAAAATTCTCAAATCATAGTAATGGATATTGGTGTTGAGGCGTCCCCCAACATCGTCTTTAAGAGGAATCCTTTCATGAATGAGATAAGTAATAGGATGAGAGTATGATGCTACTAGCGCTAGTAGACTTTAATTGAACGGTATTCACACCACTTATAAGGGTGTTAATCATTCGAACCAACATATATATCTCCCCCTCTTATATGTATAAATTAAGATTGGTTAGTTGTGTACCATAATCATTTTTCACCCAATTTGGGATTCACGATGCAATCATAATGTGAAATTTGTCCTTCAAGGACATTCGTTTTCATGGCAAAATTTAATGTGCAATGTGTCATTCTTAGACATTTTCTCTTGCACTCATTTGCAACATATGTAATATTTTCAAGTTGCCATTTTATCGATAAATGCATCTAGCATTTTTAAAATTGTTGCAATTGAATTCTTTTTTCTTTTGTGCTTAAATATTTCCATGCACAAATCCAGATGAGACAAAGATCATTTCATATATTTCACGCCGTTATACAAGAACCGGCTTCTTATCTCCCCCTTAACGGCGGGAAAATTGTCTTATTAAAATGGCAAATGACAATATATGCCATACAAATATCTCCCATTAGGGGTGCAAAATATTGCATATCATAAATTATAAATAAACCATGTGATATAGCTGTTATCTAGATGAGAGTAACGACGTTTGAGAATCTAACAGGTTCGGTACACAAATGACCAAATTTCAGAATTTTAAAAATTCAGGGACCAAACTGTAAAATTTGAAAATTTAGGGACCAAACTGTAAAATTTGAAAACATCAGGGACAAGACTGAAATTTTAAAAACTTCGGTGAAAACTGAAAATGCTGAAATATATTCATAATTGCAGATGATGAGAGGAACGAACTGCATATTCTAAAAAAATATTTGGACTGAATCGTAAAATTTTCAAATCCGGAGGACTAAAATAAAAATTTTGAAAACTTTGAGGAGTAAACTGTAAAGTTTGAAAAATCAGAATATGCAGAGGGTTTGGAATTTTAACAAGAAAATCAGATCCCTTTTTTCATTTGGTTTGAAATTTCATCTCATCTCATCTAGACCAATTATAAAAAAATCATATACATACCTCCATATGTATTTGGAATGAAATGTACAACTTTAATTGAATTGGTCAATATCGTGACTCCAAAATCACGCAATTTCTTTTGTTTTTGTGTTGGTGCTTGATAAAGCTTATCAACATGCTTTATCGTGAAATGGATTTATGACCAATCATTTTTCATATTTCTCACTTCTCTTCATCTCTAATGGTGAGATAAATTTATATGGTAATAAGCACCATGACATCTATATAAGATATCTCTTGAAATATTTTGTTGTTTTAACTGTCAAAGAATAACAACAATCAAACGAGCTTTGCATTATTTCAGTTTTAGCTCCACAACTCGTATTATAGTACGATATGCTATTAAAAATATTTATTTTGCTATTACGAGTGCAACTTGAGTTTTTATGTTGTCACTTCATGATCATAATATAGATCCATAAATTAGAGAATATTTTCTCTTACAATTCTCCATTATATGTATCTTCAAGACACATATATCGAAATATTTTTCTTGTCGTTTTCAAAACAACAAAGTCAAGATTTGAAGAGAGCAAATTATAGAAAGGATCAAATATCTATCTCTCTTCTTCTTCTTCATAAGTAACTAGATGTAATGTTACTTTTATTTGTGTGTTCAAGACGCATACCCCCAATTAAGTACTCGTTTCTTGAAAATGAAACAATAATATTTTGCTCGGTGTCTTCTAGACACATTTTCATTATGAAATATTTGGCTTGTGTCCTCAAGGCATATAGCAATAGCACACATATTTTGTGATATCATGAGACATAAATGGATCTTTAACTTCAATGATCCAAATTTTATTGTTATGTTCATTCTTGAACTATCGTAGATAATTTTAAACTTCATGATATTTTTGATATCATTGTATCACAAATGAATACTCATTTTGAGTACATATATACCATTGAAATATCAAGGATTGAGTTTTATACCTTGAATTTATGTACTTGATTTGGGGTCTTAAGCCCTATAATTGGTACTTAATCATAAAATAATAGTGCGTTGAGTGAGAAATACTCAGTAACTCAAATATTCAATGTTGATTATCACTTAGACTTTGAGTCTAATATTTTCAATTGAGAATTCTAGTCTTCAAATTTAATCTAGGCCTCAAGCCTTTATATTTGATATGCCTCCACATAAGCTTTCAAGCCTTCATATTTAAACTTTGCTTCGAGCCTAAAATTTATGAACTTCAAGTTCTTTTTCGATTGGTGGAGCTTTTCAAGTTGCATAAATTAGAGAGCATGTGGTTTTTTTTTTTTTTTTTTTATTCTTTTTTTTTTTAATATATCACTCAAATCTTCGAGTCACTTGATTGCACGTGCTCGATTTGGGCGTCAAGCCTCAATATATAATATATCACTCAAATCTTCGAGTCACTTGATTGTACGTGCTCGATTTAGGCTTCAAGCCTCAATATATAATAAAAATCGTTATAGTACTTTGATCATGAAAGAATCGTACTATAAATGGGGAATACCCATTAACTCAAATGCTCAAGAGTCTTATCATCTAGACTTATGTTCAATCGATATTTCTAATCTCGTATTTAATCTAGGCTCTAGGCCTATAATCGTCCCTTTTCTTTTTAGAACATTATGTTCATCTCAAAAAAAATTGCACAAGGGACAGCTCTGGCAGAGCTGAGTATTTTAAGCATATCTCTCTTGATCGAGATCCAATTTTGATGATTCAAACTGTTCCGAACAGCCAACAGAAAATGCTACAAGTTTCGTATTTTGCATTTTCTGAAATTCGGACAATATCATGTCCAAAACAGACATCAAAGTACAGACTCGTGAATTGCACGAAAATTCACCTACAACAAAAATAAGATGATTAATATTTAATTAAATTAAAACAACAATAAAATATTTGAAAACAACTCCCTTTTCATCTTCTATGGTTGAGAAGTAATTATCTTCTTTGGATCATCTTTACTCGAAAATGAAAATAGAACAATCGTGCTGATAACGTGTTGAGAAACTAATAAACAATATACAAGAAGTAGAGAATAAAGTAGAGAGAATATGTAATATATTATTCCATATATTCAAGTGTACAAAATACAATACATTGCACCTAATTTATAGGTGTAGAAAAGCTAGTCAAAGGTCATGAGTTACAAGACCTTAATGGTGAATAATGGTGGAGGTAATGGGGGTTTAATGGAGAGTGTAATGGTGGTCATCCATAACCTCCAAAAATTCACAATAATAAAATGCAATGTCATCGTTGTGTCACAAATAATGTAAATTGTTTGGCTATGTCATGATGAAAATATTGATACAAGTTTAAAAATAAATTACAAAATAACATTGTTATATTATTAGTTGCAAAATAGTTGAAAAAAGGGTAATTTTGCAAAATATTTTTTTTAGAGAAAAGGAAGACATACTATAAAATACAAGGGCCTCACAGTAAATACACTATTGTTTTGTTGCTTTCATTATCCGTAACTCCCAACAGTTCACTCGACTCTGCTCATCCGAATAACTACTATTGCCATGATTATTTAGCGGCTGAAGTTTTTGCAATCAGAGATGCATGCATATTTATCAATGAAGTTAAGTTGGCCGATGTAATCTTTGAAGTTGACTCCCTTAATGCGGTTACATTCATCGTCAATCAATTTGCCATCATCAATTTGTTAGCTCATATCAAAATAGAGGAAATCCGGAAGTTTTGTTGTGTGTGGCTGAAATGGAGGTTCAAATTTTGTCCAAGAAACTTTAATTTTGCCGCCCATAACTTAGCTAAATGGGCTTTAAATAATTGTTTTGTTGATTGTATTGCTTTGAATTTAATCCACATCTCTTGCAAATGTGATGGTGGTGGATACCTCGTTGTTCACTCCTCGTTTTTATGTTTGATATTTGGGTAAATAGCACTTACCCTCTTTGTGGTTTGGACATTTTGCACATGACCCCTATATGGTATGAAATTAGGCACATAACCTCCTTGTGGTTTGGATATTTTGCACATGACCCCCTTATGGTATGAAATTAGGCACATAACCCCCTTGTTGTTTTGACGTTTTGCACATGACCCCCTTATGGTATAAAATTAGGCACATAACCCCCTTGAACAGAAAACTGGAAAAAACTAAATTACCCCTAAAGTTTAACCAAATTGCAACATATCAAATGTTTGTTGGTTACTCTATCAAGTCAAAATTTATTGTTTTAATTTAAAAATAACTGTTCTATAAATGAAAAACTTAATGTAGTTTTTTTGTAAAATAAGAAATATAATAATATATTATTGTGTTTTTTTAATTTTACAACAGAAAATGTATATAATACTAGTTATTGTACGATTGACAATTTATTCAATTTTATAAATCAATTTGAAAATCGCATATGTTACAAATCAAATATAAAAGGATTAAACTTGATATAAAATTATGAACTATCAATTTCTTTGTTCAATTATAATTCGGTAAAATAATTTTACATATTTCAAAGCCTTAATATTGTTATTAATTACGACTATTATTTACTATTTATTCTATAATATATTATATTATATTATATTATAGTTGATATCGAATTTTATTTTTTTAAGAAATAAAGTCTTTATTTTCTAGGGGTAATTTAGTTTTTTTCAGTTTTCTATTCAAGGGGGTTATGTGCCTAATTTCATACCATAAGGGGGTCATGTGCAAAATGTCAAAACTACAAGGGGTTATGTGCCTAATTTCATACCGTAAGGAGGTCATGTGTAAAATGTCAAAACCAAAAGAAGATTATGTGCTTTCATACCATAAAGGGGTCATGTGTAAAATGTTCAAATCAAAGGGGGTTAAGTGCTATTTACCCATAATATTTAATTTGCTTATCAAAAAAAGAAAAAAAAAATACTATAGTATGAGATTTAAGAAATTTGGAAACAAAATATTTGGTTAAAAATTGGAAAGAACATGTTTAGTTTGTATCTACTACAATCATCGATAATCACATTTTTTTTAGTTTCGCTGTAGTTTTAAGTTTTAACTAGGGTTGGGTCATAGATTGATTCTATCTGTCAACTAACTCACTTTTGACCCACCTTTATTGGCCGATAATATTGTTGCCGGGCCGAAAATTTTAATCGACCCATATATAAATGGGTCGATCGGTGATTTTCAGTTTACTCAAAAGTTGGTTGGTCGGTAATCTCGGCAACTAATTTTTTAATATTTTTTTTTATTGTAACTATTTAATTGTAATTCTTATTTTCTTAATGTTGAAATAATATATAAAATAAGTCAAAATTCAAAAACTCGAAAGAAAAAAATTGTCCAATACAATAGTTTTAGTCTACTATCAGGCTATCACCGAAGAGAAAAGAAAAAAAAGGGTGAATAGCACTTAAACCCCTGGTGGTTTGGATATTCTGCACATTACCCCCTTATGCCTTATGGTATGAAATTAGGCACATAATCCCTTATGGTTTTGACATTTTGCACATAACCCCCTTAGAGCAACTTCAATGGGGGAATCAAATGGAGTATTAAATGATAAAACTTCCATTTTGATTCCTAAAATTCAAAATTTCATCTCCAACGGAAGCACCAAATGGGTAGTTTTTTTGATATACTTCATCTCCTAGAGGTGCAAAAACGCACCCAAAAAATGAAGTATCAAATATTCCTAGAAATTAGGATATGCAATTTCAACGTGAAAATAATAAAATTTCTAACAAATTCCTATGGAATAGGAACAAAATATATCTATTAATTTATGATTAATACATTTTAAAAAATAAAATAATTTATTTGATTCCTACGGGGTGGAGCATATAAATTTTTTCGAATTACCAAAGTATTAATTAAGAGTTTAGATGTCTCATTTTAATACCTACCATTGGAGTTGCTCTTATGGTATAAAATTAGGCACATAACCCCCTTTAATAGAAAATTGGAAAAAAATAAATCACCCCTAAAGTTTATCCAAATTGCAACCATAGCAACTGTTCATTGGTTACTCTATCAAGTCAAAATTTCTTGTTTTAATTTAAAAATAACTATTCTATAAAATGAAAAGCTTAATGTATTTTTTTTTAAATGAGAAATACAATATATCATTGTTTTTTTTTTTAACAGCAAAGGTATATAATACTAGTTACTGTATGGCCAATAATTTATTCAATTTTAGAAACCAATATGAAAATCTCATATGCTATAAATCAAATATAAAAGGATTAAAGTCGATATAAAATTAAGAACTATCAATTTCTTTGTTCAATTATAATCCGGTAAAATAATTCTACATATTTCAAAACTTTAACATTGTTATTAATTATGATTATTATTTACTATTTTCTGTATAATATATTATATTATAGCTGTTATTGAATTTTATTTTTTTAAGAAACAAAGTCTTTATTATTTAGGGTTAATTTAGTCTTTTCCAGTTTTCTATTAGAGGGGGTTATGTGCCTAATTTCATACCATAAGGGGTTATGTGCAAAATGTCAAAACCACAAGGGGTTTATGTGCCTAATTTCATACCATAAGGAGGTCATGTGCAAAATGTCAAAACCACAAGAGGGTTATGTGCCTAATTTAATAGAGATAATTAGTGAGAACCCCCCACATCATGTACATATATTACGATAGATATTACCCCATTTTCATAATTAGTGAGAACCCTCTCTTGTATTAAACATGATTATTTACAATTAATTATATAATTGACATTGACATATTCACTCCTGTGTAATTAATTTATTTCAAACACGTGATTTAAATAAATCTTTGAGATCACAATATACCGACATATTCCATAACCGTCTCATCCCGCTCAACCATTGTGTTAACTTTTGAACCGTTTCAAAGGCGCGCGTTGAGATTCATATCTGATTCCGTTTAGAGAGTCAGCGACTGTAATTGAAGAAGACGAGTTTTTTATTTTTATTGTTTTTGTTTGCAACCCTGTTGTTTTGAGCGCCGATTCAATGCATTAAATTTGAATTCATATATACGGTGATTCTGTTATAATTATATAAAGTGGTTTGTAATTGATTTCATATGTACGAACTGCTGTTTTGTTGTTTGTGCGAACGATAGCATATGGATCATTTATGTTCTGATGTATGAAACCAGGAGTTTTTTTTTTTTTTTTTTTTTTTTTTTTTTTTTGTGCTGATTATGTTGAGATTTTATAGTCGTGTTATCCAGGTAACACGATTATTGTTTTTACAGTAACATGTTCCTAATTTACTTTTATTGTAGTTGATTTACTTATAGTCGTTAATGTAGTACCTAATCATGGTTGTTTCATATATATTCTCTATTTAGATGGATATCAGTGTTAATATTTTTGTGAAGTACGGGGGTTTGGTTGCTTTGAAGCGATCTTCTGAACTTACTTTCCAAGCATTGGTTGATTTTGCGTGTTCGAAATGGAAATGCCTGAATGCATCTAATATAAGCATCACATATATGGTGGCACATTGTGGAGAATGCATTATTGCGGATGATGAAGACTTGGTATCCATGTTTGCATTGATGCGCGAGTTATCTGTAGTGCGTATAAATGTCGTGATGAAGGGTGAAGATGATAATGTGATTCGACCAATTCAACATGTGGTTGCACCAATTCGGCATGTCCACACGCAGATGATGCTGCCAATGATCGGCTATGACAAAAATGTTGAGGATATAGAAGATCGTGATTAAGAAAACGTGGTTGCGGAAGTTGAGGGAAGGAAGTTGTTGAGTGTTGATTGGATTTATTTGATAAAAGATATAGGTCAGGTTTTTGAAGGTCCTGTTGCCGATTTCAGAAAAATGCTTATTAAGTTTTCAATTGAAATGGGGTTTGAGTACAAGTATTTCAAGAACGAGTCATATAGGGTGACGACGATGTGTAAGTACAAACATGAAAAACAATGTTGCTGGAGAATACTCGCTTCCGTTGACAAATATAACAAGTTTTGTTCTATTCGGACGTATCATAAACATCATACGTGCGGTATGTTTTTTGGGATATAAACATTATGTATAGAAAACAACCTCAATATACTTGGGTTAGACAGTTTCGATCAAAACTTTGGGCAACGTGGTCATTCGTCAGGAACGTTCAACTAAAGCAAGCACACCTCGATTGCCTAAAACGAACACCCTTCTACCATTTAGTATTACCATTTACGGAAAACAAGTACTTTCATCCGCAGTTAGGGGGACACAAGATGGTAGTATACAACTACTTCTTACGTATGATAAAAAACGAGGTGCATTCGAAATAGCAGGCAAAGCTCTCAATATATAGCCAAACGAGTTTGACTTGATATTTGGAATCAAATCTGGAACACGGGTGAAATATACAAAGCAAAGTAGTATTCCACAGTCTCTACTCGGAAGGAGGAGATTCCAACGCTACACATTCCAGACGTACTTAGAGAACCTCGAACTCTGTAGCTAACTGTGGGTCAGTTGAGGTTTTAATTCTTTGCTCTAACTCTTTGTTGCGGTCCGAAATATTGGTTGCTTTTGTTCGCCATGTTTTTGCCTCCTGTAGAGCACATGCAAGCCTCGCCTCAAGTATTGTGTTCTATGTCAACAAATCATCGTTCTGTTCGTCAACATATTTCGGTTTCTTTCTCCCCGAAGATTGCTCAATGGGACTAGCTGGTGCATCATGGTCATGGTAATCATCGTTCACATTATTTGCATCAACCGATTCACTTTCACTGTCATGCGGCTCGTTTCTTGCTTCTGAATCGTCACTCTCCTCGTCCTCATTGTCATGCAGCTCGTTGTCACTAATATCTTGTTCTTCATAATTTCCACTCAACGATGAACGTTCCACATCGGTCTCTTCAATGGGGTGCCTATTACTTGTTTGTCGGTGATGTCCTTTATAGTTGTACAAGCAAGTTTTTCTTTAAAAGTCTCCAAGCTCCATTTTCTGAATCTTAGAAATGCGTCTAGGTGTAATGGTTCGACATAATTGACTCGTTCACACATCCAGAACTGTCAAGTTACGTTACAAAAAAGAGGTTAACACAAATAATTAAAACTATTATTTGCAGAGTGTAGTCAAAGAAAAGAACTCAAACTTGATAAATAATTAAACAAATATGTAACCACATAAATATTACAATACAGTCATGGAATAAATAAACTATTCCTGTAAATACAGTACTGAATGTGTGAATGCATTTGCATTTAGTTGTAAGTAACCTATTTTTTTACAAAACAACCGTTTAATTAATCAACTAATAGAAAGCATCAGTCTCTTAAAATAAACAAGGACACATAAACACCAAATACAGTTATAATCAGAAAATGATTCACAAAGCAGTTTGTTTTAGTGTTGAAAAACTAATATAGTTCAATAATTACAAAATAAAAGACTTACCAGAAAGAGAGGTACACAATCTTTCACCGCTTCTGCTTCATTGTTTTTTACATACTTCATTAGCAAATCAAGAACGGGTTTTCCCCAATTGTACTCTTTTAATTGATCGATGTCGTCGCACAACTTGAATTTCCACGCACTGACCACATCCCCAGAATTTGTAAATAAAAGAATGGACAATATATGTACTATTACTATACGCACGGTGTCCTCAATATCCTCTTCAATGTTGCTTCCAACAATTTTCATCAACTCTTCTTTGAGTATATTTGGCGAAACCTTTGTGTAGCGTTGGAATCTCCTCCTTCCGAATAGAGACTATGAAATACTACTTCGCTTTGAATATTTCACCCTTGTTCCAGATTTGATTCCAAATATCAAGTTAAACTCGTTTGGCTGTATATTGAGAGCTTTGCCTGCTATTTTGAATGCACCTCATTTTTTGTCATACGTAACTAGTAGTTGTATACTACCATCTTGTGTCCACCTTACTGCGGATGAAAGTACTTGTGTTTTTGCAAATGGTAATACTAAATGGTAGAAGGGCGTTCGTTTTAGGCAATCGAGGTGTGCTTGCTTTAGATGAACGTTTCTGAAGAATGACCACATTGCCCAAATATTTGATCGAAATTGTCTAACACATGTACCCTTTTTCTTTCTCTTTTTGACAATCCTTTTCGTACCCTCTGTTACACAAAGTAGAAATAACATTAAATAACGTATTAAACTAAGCAACTTTTGAAGAACTATTTTGCTAAACATATTTTTACGAAGCCAACACTTGCAGTATTTTTCCTATAATAAATATTCAACCCCATTCTAAACTTCAACATGTTTGATTACATTTTCCCGAAAAAAATATAGTCAGTACAGAAACGATTAAGGTACAATATTGACAAAGAAACAATTTAAGATATCAACCTGTCTAACAGGCTTCATTTGAAATCCAACTATTTACAGAATAGTCTATTTACATCCTAATGAACTATTTACAGAATAGTCTATAAACATTCAACACAAATAGTCTATTTAATACTCCAAGAACAGTCAAGACAAACAATCAAATAGACTATTTTGATTCACAATGTGTCATGCGATTTTTTGAATGAACAAGTTCTACCTACAAATGCCGAATAATTCCAACAAGAATGACATATTAATAACAATTCTTAATAAACTATTTACACAAACATCTACGACACAGTTATATATTCTACAATTACATAATTTACAAGCAATTGTTTACAAAATAACCTGTTTGCAGTATGCTCAAACAGGATTACACTGTTTCTTTCAAAGTCATCTAATCTAACTATATACCAACAAAACCATATATGTAAGATTCAACAATATCTAATTTAGCTACTTACAAAACAACTATTTAACAAATTCACCAATTTCAAATTATATTAATTTCCCCATAAATAGACTTCAAGCCCACGATTTTCACGGTCAACAATTACTAATGAACTATTTACAAAATAGTCTATTTGCATTCAACACAAATAGTCGAATTAATACACCAAGAACAGTCAAGACAAACAACCAAATAGTCTACTGTGCTTCACAACGTGTTATGTGATTTTTGAGTGAACAAGTTGTACATACAAATGCTCACTAATTCCAGCAAGAATAACAGATTAATTACATGCGTCGGTTTGCCGAATGTCGTTCAATGCTTTTGTCCTACGTTCTCATGTTCACAAAAAATAAAATGTAAAAGAAACACATTTGTAGATGGTGTTTTTTGGTAGAATCGAAGATAGGAAGTTAATGAACATGACTATTTCAGTTGGGATACTTACTGCTAGCAGACGTCGCTTTATTTTCCGATTCAGTGGTTTGTTGTCCATTGCTTCAAGAATTACACTGATTTTGTAGCTTCATCGCCTATTTTATTTACCCAGGAAACGACACAATATAGTCGTTTCACAGATTTTGGTGAGTGAGTGAGGATTTTGGCAGCAATTCGAATTTTTGTGCCATAGGTAGGGGTGGAAATCGGACGGATCAGATCGGATATAAGCTTTTCGGAAAATTTCCGATTTTTTTCGGAAGTGCAAAATCAGTTCCGATTCCGATTTTTTCGGAATCTTAAAACTGATTCCGATTCCGATTTTTCGAAAATTTTCGGAAATTCGGAATTTTTTGGAAAAAAGGAAGAAAAAGAAAAAAAAATCAAAAACACCGTAAAAAAAAAAAACCATACCCAACAACAAACGATTCTCCACAAAGTGCAACACAATCAATGATTTTCATTCTCATCAAATTACGAGAATAAATGGACATATAACACATGAATAATCCCTAAAATTACAAAATTTATGCTGAATTTTCAAAAGAAAGGGATTTTTGTCTTTGTAGTTTGCGTGATCGATCGGTCGAAAAAAAAATTAAGAACGATACAGGAGATTTGGTTGAAGAACATAACACTAATGTTAGCAAATGAATGTTGCTATGAAGAAAAAAATACTAAGTTTGAAAGAAAGAAGAAAAAAGAAGAAGGCAAGCAAGCAGCAGCGTCGCTGCATAGAAACAAATTGAAAATTAGGTTACAAATAAAATAATAGGTGTAAACGTGTAGTTGTGTACTTGTGTAAGTAAAATGGGATCAATACTACATGGGTCTAAATAATATTTTTAAATAAAAAAACAATATGGCCCAACCCAAAATAAAGATTATAGTGACCCAATATACATATATAATAATTTTTTAATATAAAAAATTGGAAAATTTTGGAAAAAATCGGAAATATTCGGAATTATTTTGGATCGGAATTAAGAAATTCCGGAGATTTTATATCAAGTTCCGATTCTGATCCGATTTTTTTCGGAAAATTCGGAAATCGGATTTTCGAAAATCGGACTACAAAAAATCGCTCCAAAATCGGAAATATTCGGACCGGAATCTGCGAAAATCGGAAAATTCGTTCCGATTTCCACCCCTAGCCATAGGTTATGTCGCCAATGTAGCCGTTTAGGAGATTTAGGGTTTATAGTGGGAGTTATGAAAATATTCGGGAAAGCGAGATTTTGGGGATATATTTCAGTGATTTTAATTTCCGGATTTAGGGTGTGTTTTTTGTTTAGAAAAAAATGTGGCTCCAAGAAGGCTAGTTTCGGGATTCATTAAAATTGTGAGTTTATTAATATTGAAAATATGGCTGGATCCACCATTATTAAAAGGGGCAATTTGCTATAGGTCTCTGTATATTATAATTTATGTGAATAGATCCAAGTTAAAATCTCCATATTTTAATAAATTAATTATATTTATTTTGGCAGAAATATACTTACTTTAAATCAAATTAAATCCCTCAAAATATCTCCACCAAATCAACTTTCCCCAAAATTCTCTCTTCCAAACTAAAATAAAATTAATTCGCAAAAGAAAAAATACAGTATTTATCGTTCAAACTTAGATTGTCAAAAACTCACCACCGCCAAAACCGCTGCGCCACTGTCGTGCCCGCTAATGACTCTGTAAAATGCAAATAGCAAACTAGTAATTAAAACTTGCAGTCAAACAGCAAATTACGTATGAATTCGCCAAATGCAAACAGCAAATTGAACAAGAAAAAAAAAAAATCAGCGTCATCTAATTACAAACAACAAAATGAAAATATGATATATCTAAATGCAAATAATAACAATAAAAATACAAAACGAAAAAAAAAATCATACATATGAGAAAAATGCAAAAAACAACAATAAAATTATAAAAAATATTCTATCAATGCAAAAATTGCAGTTTGCAGTTTGCAAAAAAATCTACTGTTATAGGTTGCATTTTGCAGTTTATGTCTAATGCTGCAATTTGATTTGCCGTTTCAATTCTTTTTTTTTTTTTTTTTTTTATTGAACCAAAATCAATTAGAAATACAAACATACATTATAAACTCACTACATATAAATACAAAGCGAGAAAAAGAAAAAAACTCACTTTTTGCAAGCAAGAAGCGAGTTATGTTTGTTGTCCGCTTTTAACTCTTTAACCGAAAAATCATCTAATAATGTAAAGTTTCAAAATAAAAAACATTCTTCTCTATAACATAATCCCAAAAAATTAGAATTCCAAAGAAAAAATAACCGAACAGATGTGATCGAGAAAGGAGTATAGAGAAAGAAAGAAGCTGATCGAAACAAAAATCAGAAAGGAATTGATCGAAAAGAAAAAAATTAGAAGAACAAAGCAAGAGACACAAGATGGAGATGGAGAGAAAGATGAGAGATTATATAGGAAGAAAGATACGTAAGATTGGAGAGAGAGAGTGAGTGATATATGAGATATATTTTCTTATTAATTGAGGGTGCTTATGTCCATATGTTAATTGTTTTATTTTATTTATATTATTTTTTGGGACAAATTACCTATGTCTATATTCATCTAGCAACTAGGATCTCTACCTATATAAGTAATATTCTGACACCATTATAGTAGAGCAACTGTAATGGTAGGTATTAAAATGGAACATCTAATCCTCACTTGATAATTGAAATAATACTTTGGTACTTCTAAAAAGCTTATATGCTCCAATGCGTGGGCATCAAATTAATTATTTTATTTTTAAAAATGTATTAAATATGAATTAATAGATATACTCGGTCCTTATTCCATAGGAATTGTTAAAAAAAATATTTTTTCACGTTGAAATTGCGGTGACTATGTTTTAGGAATATTTGATATTTGTTTTTTTTTTTGGCGTGCATTTTTGCAGCAACTCTAATGGAGGCACTAAATGAAGTATCAAACTAAAAAACTACCATTTTGATGCTCTAAAATTAAAAAATCCTTCTCCAATAGAGGCATAAAGGGAGAATAT